GCGGCGCTCAGCTGGCCCAGACCCCTTGCATAGCCTGAGGAGCTGGAAAAATCTTTGAGAGAATAACAAGTTTTGGTGAAAGTCACTATTTTCTGACTTACGTTTGTTTTTTAAGCAAATGTTTCAGTGCCTTCTTTAGCAGACCATGGAGACTTTTATTTATTTATTTATTTTTCTGACAGTTTTTTTAGGAGTTGTACAGAACAGCCCAACAGTTTCTTTTGCATGAAAGAAAGGAAAAAGCATCAAGCACAAGGGCAAGAACTTGAGTAGGCAAATATTTCTAATATAGGTGGTTTCTCRCAGCTGGGAGAGCTGCCTGTTGGCAGAAGAGCAGCGTAGATCTGTGCCTGTGAAAGGAGAGGTCCGTGGTGCGGTGTGCTACTGTTTGCACTTCATGTATATAATTTTTCAGTTGGAGCCCAGAAGTCCCTGAGGGAAGGACAATGTCAGTAGCTGTCTTTCTGCCTTTGCTCTGCCCACTTGCTGTTTCTAATAATAATTTTCTCMTGTCTGTCTACTGCAGTACAGCACAGTTTTCAGTGCAGGGAAGACCTCCTCATTTCCTGAGAGCTCATGCTAGTAGTTCTCTCCTCCTCTCCAGCACCAAATACCATCTTCCCCAGTGAATGATAAGCCAAAAACCAGTGCATGAGATAATTGTATCTCTCTTCTCTGTCAGACTGGAAAAGCCAGCTTCACCTATCATTTAGTGGCTCTTGTTTTCCATTTTCTCCCCTTCCCATCTTTCCTTTGTATTCAGACGTGTTGTGGCTGAGTGAAACTGGGTTTAAATCGCAGCAGCGCCCATCTCATGTCTGTTGCAAAAAATGCTTCTATGAATTTGGAATCCATGGAAGAATTACCTTCTGGCGGCTTCTCTAAAAATATCTCACAGATGGAAATCGTCATACTTATTACAGCCCCGCTTCATCTTAATTGTTTTCTCATTTCTGTCTTGTTTTAAACCCTTATTTGTTTTCCTGGTTATTTTTGTGCTAGAAGAAGGGAGACTTTTGTATGTTATGGGCATTAGTCTGAATGTTTTTGTAATGTAACTTCTGTATGCTTTTTTTGTTTGCATATTTGTAATGAAGGTAAATTTGACTTGTAGTGTGTAAGAAACCAGTCCATTTTAAGTGGGATTTGTGCTTACATTTAAAATATAATCTAAAAGATTTTTCAGTTGGACTGTACATTGCACCATGTATGTTTGTAAGTGCCCTGTATGGTAAGGAAGTACTGYTCTCTGAACACCATATGTGTCAGAGCCAGAACATGCCTGTAATTATCATGAAGAGAGTGAAACCTCGTCTCATCCATGGGCACTGTCCAGAGTTGATTATTTGCAGCATGTGCTTCTCACTCCAGCGGAGGGTGGTGTCTGGATACATCTACTTTATCTGTTCCACCCCATCGGCAGTTACGCTTATATCTCCAGGTCATTAAGAATAGAGATGGTTTCTTAATTGTAGAAATGTATACAGCTTCATTTCATTCTAACCAAGATTTGCCTGTAAAATCACTCAGGAACTGAGGCGGCATTTGGGGACTTCTGTGTTTAATTTACTMCATACTGATAAAATAACTCATCATAAGTCCCTGGAGTCTTCTCCATTAATTTGAGTGCCTTCTGGGTCACCTCCCTCCCTCTRAAAGCAGCAGTGGAAAATGAGATTAATTTTGTACCTGTCTTAGTATTCAGGTGATTGGGGTTGACTGAGAAGAATACCATCAACATGTTTGACAGAGTAATGAATTCAGCCTACGTGGGTGAAGAGCTGGCAGATTTGAGTGTTTGCAGCTCATGACACAGGTTCAGATCTCAGGTAAAGAGTTTTGTCTAAAGCCTTTTGTAGAATAAGCATTAAACYTGGAATTTAAGGCATTCTGAAGAAACTGTGCGTTGCATGTTGGACTGAATAAAACACTCAAGTCGTTTCCTTCTGTAATATGAAATACATATTGGCAAAACAGATTAGAGCCAGGTAGAAGGTACCTTTTGAAAGTGGACAATTCTCATGGCAGCAAATTTAGTAGTGTTGTGTGGTGGTGGGTTTTTTTGTTTGTTTTTTGTTTTTTTTTTTTAGTTTAATACCTTTAGCTCTATTTCAGTCCCTTCTTTATAAACTTTAGAGGGGAACTTGAGCAGGTGTTTGGTATTTTGATTGTTAAAGCAAGATAAGTTAAAACGTTGGTGGGTCTATGCAAGTTGATGTATGGGCTTTTTAAGCTTCCAGCTTAYGCAGCTGTAGAATAAGGATGCAATTTTGTGGGTCCTGTGTGTTCCTGAAGAACTTGTCCTAGGGCTACCCTGTGGATTTGAAACCTGGCCTTTGGTGACCACACGGAGACACATTTGGGTATCAGCTGAATGCACGTAATGCTTGGCTTTGTGAAATGGCACCAAATCTATTTTCTACAACACAATTTGTTAATGTCTTTACGCTAGGAGTTGTTCAGCAAATACAGGAGTCCTCCTGAGATACCGAGTGGTAGTGGGGGGGGGACAGGATGTCTTGCCTTGCGATTGCTGCCTCCCACTGCCCGGGTCTGCAGCACTTCAGTTCAGCCCAGACAGGCTGCTGGTTTGTCTTTATAGCGTGTGTGGCTTGGATGCAACTTACAGCTCTTGAATCTGGGAGAAAAGGAGCRAAAAATGTGCTGGTGGGATGTATTCAGGGTTTACACCTTCCTCAGGCCTTTCTGCAGTGTAAGGATGTGCTTAGGTTGGATTGTTGCTGGCTTCCTTCACCAGCATCTGGACAAGAAGGCAGGTCGCTCCCTCTGCTCTCAGTAGCTCTTTCCATGAGCAGAAGAGGCGATGTTGCCCTCTGCCCAAGGCGTTGCACTGTTGTCCCATTGGGAAGCTGAACCTGCAGAAGACTTTCCAAACCCACTGGTTTTTGGCTGGACCATCATTCTCTCTCTGCRTTCTTCTGGCTTTGCATGGATGAGTGTGGTGCTGAAGATGAAGGAACTGACTGATTTTGAAGTAGGCTCTTAAAGCACATCTTGATTGTCTATAGTCAATCTGAAAGACATTTTTTATTTTAATTTTTTTAATTCAGAAATTCAGATTTTTTTTATTCCTCTTGATTTTTGTGGTRTGGAGATAGCTTTTCTAAATGTGTTTTTCCTGCATTCTCTTGCCTTCTAGAATGGCAGGCAGTGAATTTTGTAGCTTATCAGTTGACTGCATAAACAGCTCCCTTCCCAGCGGGTCTAGCAGCGTCCGCTGGTGTGAGAAAGCAGCAGGTTTAGTTGCCTCAGGGCAAGTGCAGGTTGACTCTGTCAGTGTTAGCGCTGGTTGCGATTGGTTAGTTTAACTAGATGGGCTAGTGTAACTTAAGGGTGGCATAAAATAAAACAGAATTTACCATTAGATTYGAGGAATGATATACTGCCTGTATTAAACACTTTGCCATTGCAACAAACCCCCCAGTTAAAAGATATGTGTCTGTATCTGGAGGTACCGCGGAGCATCGGGTGTGCTGGAGCGGAGCGCGGAGCCTTGGCGCAGGACGCGGTCGAGCTCGCTGCGCCGCGCGGGACCCGCCGTGCCGACCCTCTGCCCGAGGCTCCCGGCTCGCCTCTGGCCGCCTCCAGCTTCGGGTTTTTCGCTCCCGCTCTTTGCTCTCGCTTCGGCGTTGGTGCTTGAAGTCCTTGCTGTGCTGTGTGAATGTGAGTGAGACTTCAGGCACAGGCCGGTGCTTCGAGACCTTGGCCGGGCTCGTCCTGGGCGCCCGGCCGCTGCGTGTTGGGCTCTGTCCTGCGTGGTGCCCGTGCTGCGGTTACCYGGCCAAGGAGGAGCGGTGCCATGTGCCGCGGTGCCGCTGCCCTACCCGGCCGCCAGCAGCGTTTGATGGAACACTGGCTCTCGAAGTATCCCTGGAGTTAGTTCTGTTACCGTGAAGTTTATCAGGATAATGAGGAAAGATATCTCTGGGTGCTTTCCAGCRACTGAGGGAAGCTCGCCTTGATATTCCTTGCCTGCAATTGGGACTTCTAAGTAATTATTTATGCAGATAGCAGCCAAGCAAGCTTCTGCCCAAATGGAAGCTTGGTATTGGCAAAAATGCTTACCAGATCTAGCAGAGAAGTTGCTGTAAGTCACTGGTGCTCTCTGCATTTGCCTGGTAAATGGTGTGTTTATCTTGCACTGCTGTTCTTAGGGAGTGCAGAAGAGCCCAAGACGCAGCAGCCATTTCCAGAGCTGCACGTTGGCTGCTTTTGAGAAACGTGTAGCTCCATTTGCAGTGAGCAAAAGGGTAAAGTTCTATGTACATACGTTTCAAGTGAGCTTTTAAGATCTGCCCTGTCTTTTTTGGCCTTTTGTATTTCCCCATTCAGTTTCTAGCTTTATCTGCATTATATCTTAGAGCTTTGTTGTTCAGGTGATTACTGTACAACATGACATTTTAGTCCTATGAACAGTAAAAATAGATGCAGGTATCACTATGAGCACTGCAAACCATGGAGCTAAATCTTGAAGAAGCGGAAAAAAGCATGATATGTATGTATTTTTTTTTATCATTCTGTCTAAAATTGGTATGTTATAACAGTAGCAACTAGTGAGCTACAATTTTCGGCAGTTGCAGAAAAAGCAATGGAAGCACAACGCGGGCTTCTCTCTGCTCTTGCGGTATAAACACTCTCTCTGGGGAAAGGCAAATTTAGAGAGGATTTCTTTGTCCAAGTATGAAATCCAAGTATTGTTTGTTTAAATTCTTTTATTGACAGTTTTGTGTTTGTGAATACAGTCCTCATTTTATTACCGTGCCATCTTTATTTTTAATTTTGGTCTGTTAGCTAGTGCATCTTGCAGTAATTATTCCTGTGCTTTGATTCTCAGCTGTTGTTTTTAATGAGCATGGAGAAGGGTAACCTGTGGGAGAGCTGCATGCTTCTTGTTTACTGTCCCCGTGGAACCATCCGTGCCTCTAATCTGGCTGAGTTAGGTTCTCAAATAATATGGCTCTTTTCTTCTTCTTAGGACTGACTTTGCCCTAAAAGAAATCATGTCATCAGGAGGAGCTGAAGATGATATTCCTCAAGCAGAGAGGAAAACAGTTACAGACTTTTGTTACTTATTGGATAAATCTAAACAGCTCTTCAATGGCTTAAGGTTAGTGGATTTTTGATAGTGTTCCTTGAAGAAAAAAAAAATAGAACATTTGTTTCGGTATGTGAGTGRTGTTGAAGTCAGATGCACGGTGAAAAGGTTAAACATAAAACGAGTAAGTTCGTCTAGCAGAGAGCAAAGTGAACTTATCTATGAGTAATTTTGGGCCATGTAGGCAAGAATATTTGCAGGGGAGCTTGCTTGTTTTGGGCACCTCTAAGAGAGTAGTGGAGGAGATGGGAGAAATGTGAGTTGTATGTCACAGTTGTGTCAGTTAACGGCAAAATAGATGTTGGAAATTGCATGAAGAATTTGTGTTGAAAAGCTGTGCATGAAGAAGCATGCAATCGAGGACCAGATTTTGCTGTACACTGCAGACTGAACGTAAGTTCAAAAGATAGCATCCAGAAACCTCAAAGTCTGTGTCAAAAACAACCAACCAACCTAGTAGATGAGGAAAGAAGGATAGTCTTAGCTGGGGTGGGGGTGGCATTGGAAGAAAGTTAGGACGTAAATGGAGACTGCATGTAGCTTGTGGAAACCAATTACATTTAAACTGTGGAGAATGGTCAAATCTGGATTTATCTACAGAGCAGCTGTAGCAAAATCTTGTTTTGTCTAGTTATTCTTTCAGCACCAATTAGAAAAGGAATAAGAATAATAGAGAATTCAAGGAAAATAGTGTGTTTGGACAGTGATATGGGCATCCTACTTTTTTAATGTACTCTGAGTTAACACTTCTTTAACAAATAATCTTATTTATCTCAAAGTGTTCCTGCAGAATCTCACGAGCAACACAGTTCTAGTTCATGTAGTTGGCAATTCAGCCTCTTGCTGGTCTCTGAGTAATACTGTATGTTTGGGCCTGTATAGCTTGCTGTTGCTCAAACACAGATGGCAAGCAAAGATGTTTTTTCTTTTTTTTTTCCCCTCTTTCTTTTTCCCTCTATAAGCTATTGATAATCTCTTTCATTTGTTTTAGGAGGTGATTACCCAAGCTGAAAACAAACAGTTTGTGCTCCAAAATGTGAGTGGCGAGTGGGCAGTGGAGGCAGGCGGCCTCGTGTTCGTTGCATTCAGCGCCTCGGGAACAGGCTGTAGARCAGCATGATGGTGGTCTGGAGGCCAGGTTTTGTAGTACCAGGCAGCCCTCAGCCTTCAGATTGGCTTTCTGTTGCAGTTTATATGAAACGTTGGCTGGTAGTGCTGACAAGGACAAAACAATGCTGTCCATGTGCGGGCTTGTGCTGCTCGAGCTCGGGCCATAGAAAGCAGAGCACCTTTGGCCATTATGTCTTTTCTCCTGGGCAGACAGGGAATTGGTGCCTGCATCGTGTCTCAAATGAGAGCTCTCACTTCTATGGTATTTTGCAGAAAGAGTTTCCTAGCTGGATGAAAGGAGGATGGAAAATCTCTTTGCATGGAATTTGCATGGAATCAGAATAGAGAGATGGGCTTCGGCAGCCRCCTCTGCTGTGTGAATACAGGGACTCACCAGAATAGGAATCTGTGCCTGTCCTTACTGCAGGACAATTAATACAGTTGCTTGTCACACTGAACTTACCCACCATTTTACCCATAGAATTTCTGAGCCTCTGATTCCCATGGGAATAATGGCTAGGTAAAGCAGCAGTATAATTTTCAGGTATCTCCTCTGTTATTGCTTTGTTCTGTTCTGAACAGCTCACCTAGAAAGACTTGGCAAATATCCTGATTCTTCATCCAGTTGCTTGCTTTTCCTTGCAGCATAATAAATGCATTGATGCATGCCTGCCTGGATCTGTTTTGAAGATGATGGTGGCCTTTGCTGCTGTGTTCTGTGCTCTTCTGCTGCCCCTACAGTGTTTCATGAAATGAAGTGATGGGGGAGGGAGAGGGGAGCAGAGATTTCCTTCCTGAAGCCTCCTCTGGGCACTTGAGCTGCAGGGAACTGAGCCTATAGCTGTGTTGGCAGCTGCTTAGTTATTGCTGCTGCCAAAAATGCAAGGGCTCAGCCTGCCACGTCTTTGTTTCAGTAGCATTTCCTTCCTCTCTTCCCAATGCAGATGCCAAATACAGCATTTGAGGAAAACATATGATGATCTGCCAAGGTTGTTGCTCCAAAGTATACTTGATGCTTGTGCCAGCAGTGATATTCATTCCTTTGTGGCCCTATCTGCTAAAATAACTTTTAGAGGGGAGATTATCTTTATGGTATCTCTACTCCCTTCATTGGAYAGCCCAAACTATGTGTGACGAGCAATTGCTAATGAAGTATATTCCAGTTTCTCTTTTCCTCCCTTTCCCAGTCCTAACTAGCTTTTCTCTCTTTTCTCTTGGGGAAAAAATGCTTGGAGGCAGTAGAGGGAGTGTATTAAGAAGCAATTTTTCATGGTATTCTGTTACCAATTATTATTTTCTTTTTAATGTTAGGAAGTTTTAAACATGTTCAGTGTGGTARGGATGCTTGAAACTGTACAAGAAGGAAAGATGCTCCCTATGTGTTTTCCTTCTTGGARTGTAAGGTCTTGTTACTCATCATGCGGGCTGCAAGAATCGTGACATCTCCTTTCTTGGAAGGAAATGGTGGCATTTTGCTGTCCATTTGTTTCTCAGATTYCTAGTAAGATGCACAATGCAAACAACCTCTTAATTCTGCATGATGCTGGCTGTTGTCTGTTGATCCTGATAGCTCCCCAAATCAGTCTTCTCCTGAAAGCCATTAAATGTAATTACGAATGTGTCAAAAAYACCAATGGATGAGTGGCTGCAGGAAAACAAGCGTGGATAGAGGAATGGGTTTAAGCTAGAGAATTGTTCATGGCCGTGGTTATGCACAAGGGTCTAGTGATCCAGATGCAGCATATTGCAGTGCAGACCATCTTCTAACAGCTTTTTTAGCTTTGTATCTGGATATTTGTGTCTCCTGTGTTTTATGTCCCCTGCTGCAATTCGTCTGTCACTTGACTTTGTGCTTCCCCTTGATAAGTTCCTGCCAGTATAAGTTTCCCCTGCAACCCTTCTTCTCTCCGAAAAGTCCTGGGGTTGGAAGTTTGCAGGCTTCACTCCAGCTTTTACGTTACTTTCCCATCTTCTTCAGTTACCCTTGCAGAAGATGAGCTGACCAGACATATTGCTGAATGGACAGCTGCTTGCTTTCATTGAGGAAAAGACAGGAGCTGTTAGATTCAGATGCTGCAGCCGACTGTAGCCCTGGATGCCCAGGGAGGGGACTGGCATCTCAAAGTGATTGCACCAGTGAACCGAGTTGCTGCAGGTGCTGCTGGTGTGCAGGTATCKAGGCCTCTGCTCAGAACAGTCCTAAATCACTACAGCTCCATTTCACCCTCCATCTGAAATGCTTCTTGGTGCTGCTTCCTCCCTTYTCTAAATCTGGCCCATGGCTGCGTTGAGTACCTGCGTACCCAGCATCCTGATCAAGTATAGGGGAGAGAAAGAAAGAGGACTGYCGTTTTGGCTCCATACAACTCTATTACCCTTTGCAGATCTTAAAGTAGCACATGTAGCTGTTTGCTTTCAGGTTGGGTGTGTGATACCTTCTGGGTGATATATGCCAGCTCTGCTCGTTGGCAGGCTGTGCTAATAATGTACTTTGCAATCAGCAGAGCTTTCAAAGTACTTCTGGACTACTTCTCAGCAAATAATGCAGATAACTGTAGTACCTTGATTAAAGAAATTGTGCAGTAGATGTCCTGTCTTACTTGCAACATCCACTTTTTCATCGCAAAATTTCTTGATGTGTGGAAGCGACGTGCTAACATAAAACAGCAAAAAGGGTAGGAAAACGGATGGTAGCAAAAGCTGCTCTTGTCTGCAGAAATCTGTGATGGAAACATGGTAATGTATTGTCATAAATGAAGTTTTATTATAGCCATGTCAGAATACTATCAAAAGAACAAGTGCTAGTGTCTGTTTCCATGGAGATTCTTCCTGTTCCCTGGGGAGCCGAGGAATTGCCTGGCATTGTGCAGCTATGCTGGCTGCAATTAGGCGAGCGTGCTGCTGCAGGAGCACCCGTGTGGACGCCCAGCAGAGACAGGGACAACAATGGCCAAGCACGTGCACGCTGTGCGGACGGGGGCCATGTGAAACGCTGCTAATTGTTTCATATAAGCAGAGCAAGTGCAGGGCACTGAGCTGACCTAGGCTTTGTCGGCAGGTTTAGGCGCACGCAGAGAGGCAGGTAGGAACGGGCGCTTTGACAGCAAGAGATGCGTGAGGAGCCCATGGGCCTAGAGACAGTGGGCAGCGCATCACCAGCATCCCAAAACAGATATCAGTTTGTTTCCTGATCTGTTTGTTTGAATATCTATCTTTTTCTCAGTGTTTGAAGGAGGAGGGGAGCATTTTGTCATCGTTTTGTACCACCCCTTTACTCAAATACTCTTGGCCTGGAAAGCCTACTACGGTAGGGCTTTCTGAGTCAACTTGCTAATTCAATCATTCCTGAAATTAGTGCCTGGAAGTTTGTGGGKTTTTTTCCCCTATCAATTTGAGTATTTTATGTTTGTATTTTTTTATTTTTTGAAAATAATGAAGATTGAATTTTAGTATGAAAACTTAGCTGTGCATTTGCTAATTAAACTTGGCACTACTTCATGCTATACCAAAGCACCTAGTCCTGCACAGACTCCTTAGCATCTTCATAGAATAACGGTGGCAGGGAGCAGTGTGTGGCTGATAAGGTTCATTTTGCGTCTAGTAACTCAGCTAGGTCCCCTCAAGCTGCGTGGGAAGTGCAGTTGGCTGATGAGCAAAGGAATATTAATTTCCTTTCTACCTAGGGTGCTGTTAAAGCAATTACAGTTAGCAGAAACGAGCCAGTACATTGCTCTGGAAATCCTAGTGTCCTGCTTTGCTTGTCTTCCTCCTCCGGAGAACATGGCTCGGTTACCAAAGGGTGGTGTTTCCCTGCAGCCGGGCCCTGCCGGGCTTGGAAGTGGAGTTTGCTGCTTTTCTATGCCAGTCTGCTGAGGACTGAGGCATTAAATGGGTTAGGTAGGTTAACCAGCACAGTGGCTTGAGAGAGCATTCCCTGAAGAAATCATCTTGGATCAAAGGACAAATTATGACACCTCGACAAAGCCACTCCACTTCCATATAGAGGAGGTGAATACCTGCTTTGAATCACCTGCATGGGTCTGAAAGCATTATTCGTTCAGTGAGCCTGGGCGATTTTGGTTTCTTCTGTTGCATTTGCTCCAAGTCTTATCACTGAACAAGAGTCAGAGGGTGACAAATGTTCCTATGTTGATGTGACCTGACCCAGTGAATGTTGCCAGAGGGCCCTTATCTGCTTGCTGGTGGCTTTCAGACAGCTGGTTTAGGTATCATGTTATAGGGGCCAGTTCTGAAACACATTGAGCAGCCTCATCCATTTTTAAAAGATGTTTTTCCTAATGAATGGCAAGGAATCAAGGAATATTACCAATCTAATGAGTCTGAATGAACTAATTTATGTTAGATTATCTTGCTTGTTCTTGGTTTTGGGTGTTGTGATGGTGGTGATTTTTTTTCCCTGTGATATTTTAAGATTCCAGTTTAGCTATATGTGCATGTAATCATAAAATTATTTCTTAGCAGGAAGCAAGAATATAGGTATTGGCTGGATTTTAAAACATTTCAAGTCAGTTCTGAACGAAGCTGTCCCATCATTGATGTAAATCTGCTGCTGATCTTCTGAGATGACTGAAATCTACTCGGGAATTCTGCATTTGTCACTTCTCTGTTGCAGGGATTTACCTCAGTATGGGCAAAAGCAGTGGCAATCCTATTTTGGGCGAACATTTGATGTTTACACCAAGCTATGGAAATTTCAACAGCAACATCGGTAAGAAACTGTTGTAGGCAGCTGTGTTCTATGGATTTAAGTGCAACTTCAGTCTCTGGTATTTTGATATGCCTAGGGGCCCCAGTTAAGACTGAGATTTCACTGTGTTATTCAGGCATGAAAGGAGGGAATAGTCACTGTTACGTTCACAGTCTAATAAATTAAAATGCTGCAGAGTTTTCACCCTGACTATTTTTTTTTAAACAAAACCTTTTGTTCTGCTTGGATACATGTTGGTTTAATGTATTACTAAGGAGAAGCTGAGATGATGGCTTCTGCAAGCAGGAACCCATCTGGAATGGTGTGAAGTGTCGTGCTGCAGTGTGGGCTCTGATCTTTCACACCTTACACTGGCTCTGTAGTCCACGGGTTCTCATGGGAAGTTGTGACCATTTGTTCTGTGTATTTTGTGCAAAATACTAAAATACAGCTCTGGCAAGTTTTTTTGTGAAATAATGGTCGTTTGTCTGGTGTGTGTATTCAGTGCTGTTGGCTCTGTGAGGGACTGCCACTGGGGATGCCACACCAGTAACGAAAGTAGAATTTGGCCCTTACAGTGGCTGTTTGTCTTGTCTGGTGTGATGTTCTCAGCAATTCTGGAATGCCTTTTAATCTTTCTTTTCTCTCTTGCGAAATAGACAAGTATTGGACAATCGGTATGGGTTGAAGCGGTGGCAAATTGGGGAAATTGCCTCCAAGATTGGGCAGCTCTATTACCATTATTAGTAAGTAAGCACAGAAAAGGATTCAGTAGGGAAATGCAGTGTTAGTGGCAGTTCCATGCCAAACATACGGATGCTCAGACAGGAGGCTGCTGAGGTAGAAACGGACGTGTCAGTTGAGCCACGATGCCCCTGTCCGAATGAGGAGGCATTGAGTCTGCATGGGGGTGCTGCAGAGAAAGGCGCCTGTGAGCCTGATGCCATTTCACTAGAGTCACGTTGACACTGCCTAAGGATTGTTTTCTACCTCAAAAGTATCTGCAAGTCTTCCATGTGCTGAATTTGATTCTTGTGCAGAAGTGTGATTTACAAGTTTAACGTTCCTTTAAACTTTTAAATTAACCTGTCACCTGTACATATGGGCACAAGATGGGCAGATCTCACCGTTACCAGAAATAGAATCCAGGCTCTGAAAACTCTTCCCCGCATGCACAGAGAATGAGAGTCTGGCTTTCATATGATGTTACCTGAGGAGGGAGTTTTGGCACTGATGCTGAGGGGGCAGGAAGGGAAGGCTGGGCATGGATTTCCATCTGGAGCAGCGAGCTAATCTACATCTTCCTCTACAGCTTGCGTACTTCTGAAACCAGCTATCTGAACGAAGCTTTCTCCTTCTATTCAGCAATTAGGCAGAGGTCCTACTACTCACAAGTCAACAAGGAAGATAGGTATGTCCGGACTGATGTCCTCCGTTTTTTTTCAGGATTACAACTGTGTATGAAGATAACAAGTATAAACTATGTTTATAGGAAGAGAACTGGGATAAAAAACAATGTTGATGGTGGAAGCTTTTTCTAAATCTTCAACCATGCTTAGAAACTCCAGTATAAACAAGAGCTTCATTTGATGGCTGGAGGTGTATTCCGCTCTCTGGCCCTGGCTGAAGAACTGCTCAGCCCATACCTTTGTTGCCTAGGTCCTGGGCAGTAGCAGTGCTGGGGACTAGCGTTCTGCAGCTGGTAAGGTAAATGAGGTGGGATTAAGCAGAGGAACTCTTCATTTCTTTTCATGAGGCTTTTCAGGGGAAGGGCAGTACAACAGCCTTCTCTGGCTGGGTGAAAATCCAGGACCCTCAGGAGGAAAATCTGTAAGACTCCATCCTGGGAAAGAAACACTTGAAACAGTGCTATGATAATACAGAGCAGGTGCTGCCTGCCCCAGAACTTAGAACAAGGGATGGGAAGAGGTGGAGAACTCAGTTTTGGATCTTGATCCTGTATTCTACCCAGTAAACCTTGGTCCCCTCATTCAGTTAAGGATAGAAGAAGTCGTTAGATAGTATCAGCTAAGGAATTTCCTGCTAAGCATTCAAGGATCTCTGGACTTTTAGTTGTGTTTCTGCAGATGTTCTCTTGTATAAATGCATCTGTGCTTTACAGATGAAAGATTCCCTGTTCTGTTCTGGTGTCTGTTAATCCTGTGCTCTTGTCTCTTAAAAATTTTCATTTTCAGTCTGAGTCCTTGAACTTTTTCAGACAAGGTAGGATTGACTACACATGTTTCTAGATGCCATTGGAAGACTTTAGAAATGGATGAGTAATTACAGATTGTGCTGACTTGCAGATGTTCAAGTTCTCAGGTGTTTGGCCAGCGGTGATAATCTCAGTGGAGTCAGATACAGCTGTCAAAAGGTTTGAAGAGTTAGGTATTATATCTGACTCCTATGGCCCTGCTCAACTAAAGGGGCTTAGGAGCAGGGATAGTTGGGACTCTCCTGAGGTGTTTCTTATGGCCCCCTATGCTGAATAATGCCCTGCTGATATCCTCATTTAATAAGGCTCTAAGTAGCCAGGTAGCWATTATTTAGTCTCCATATGAATGTAGATAGAAATTCAAACCTGCTAATTGTCTGTCAATGTTCTGTTTTAATCAAATTTCCGTATGTTGTTCTTGTTGCCATGTTTAGGCCTGAATTGGTGGTTAAGAAGCTGCGTTATTATGCAAGGTTTATAGTAGTTTGTCTCTTGCTCAACAAAATGGATGTTGTAAAGGACCTTGTAAAGGTACGTTGAAAAGAAGATTGAGAGTGGGGGCCTGCTGGTTATAGTCTATTTCCTTTGAAATCTCACTTGTTAAACCTATAGTACAGCTGCTGCAGTATGGCTTTGCATTCTTGCCTCATTTAATTTGTGCTCTTGGAAGTCGCAGAAGAAGAAATCACATGAATAGCTGTTGAGACATGTCAKTGTGACATGAACATTTGACTAGAGAGGAAAATATACGAATTTGTATATTTAGCTGAGAATAAACTGTAAGATGGACGTTATTTATCTGATAGTAAGGATCATCCAGTTACCTTTGGTATATTCTCATTCCTATGGAGGCTTTACAAGATCAGTGTAATTGTGTCCAAATCTTCATTACTGTGAAAGCCAATATCTCCTACTTYGATACTGAGCTTGTTTCTCTCCCTTTCCAGCCTATTTCACTTAGTCCCACTTCTAGGACACATCCTGAATACATTTTGCCCTTTCTAGAGACCAATGGAAATGCTAAGGGTATAGATACTTATATGGAATTGGAAAGGTTGGATCTGCATGTGCCTCTGCTGTGGGAGTGAAGTTCTGAATGCTTATAAACACAATTCTTTAGGTACAAAAGATACAGACTMGGGCTGATCGATTGCCTTTCTAGGATCTATGACATGACTCAGAGTATCTTCTGTAAATCAGTTATTTAATAATGAAACTTTAAGAACAATTTGACTTGTCAGATTGTTGTCTGAACACCAATTAATTTGGTGTACCTACCCAAACTGTAAACTTTTTAAACTGAGAGTATARAAGTCAATCAGTGAGTTTACAGTTTGATTTTTCTTTGAACTTCTTACATCAGGAGTTGTCAGATGAAATTGAAGATTACACTCATCGTTTTAATACTGAGGATCAGGTGGAATGGAACCTGGTTCTTCAAGAAGTGGCAGCCTTTATTGAGGTGAGAATATAATTTCCTTGTAATTGTCAATTTAAAAATAAAATTTAATGACTTCACCAAAGCGTTCCTGTACCACCACCTCTATGTGATAAGCAGATGCACTGTGTGTGGGGGCAGAATTCCTGTCCAACTTAATCACTGAAATGTGTTTACAGTCGTGTAGCAGTGACAGCTGCTAAAGTGACTGAAGAGTCGGATCTGGTTCTGTAACATAGTGAAAACAGAAACGTGAAGCAGAGACCCACCTGGTTGCCTTTTTTGTTTTTGATCTTGGTGTTTGGAAAATGATGGCGTTAAAAGCACAACAGTTAACATGGTCAGTATTTTGGAATGACAGCAGCACGGGACAGCTTAGTCCTGTGGTTGTGGAAACCAACCCAATTTGCTGACGTTCTGATTATGTTTCAGAGTGTACTTGGATTCTTGGAAGTACTGGCCTATTACAGTGGCAATACCTGAGCAGTATAAAATGGAAAATACAGTGTATGTGTGACAAGTAACGATAGTGTCCCTTAGCATAGCTGTAAGATGGCTGGCTTTTAAAACTTGTTAAAAAAAAAAATTATTCTGCGCAACAGCAGACGGGGTTCTGCTGTCTTTATGCAGGATGTCACTGTATAGCAAGAGTATTTAAATATTGCTAGACTGGATGGCAGCATTGTTTGGCTCATCTCCCTTACTGTTTTTTTTCTGGGAAGGGAAGGCAGACAAAAGTAGTGCAGCGTTCTTCAGCACTGTTCAGTTATTGTTCAGAATTTTCAGTTTATTCAGTGTGAGCTGAAGGATCATTAAGGTATTTGCTTCCTCAGGACTGGAAAAGCAAAAATGGAGTTGCATCGTTTGAGGGAGAATGGTTCTCTACCAGCTATATGTTAAAGTGCTTGTGCTGCGTCACTAAGGGCTGCTGCTTTTACAAGTAGAAAGGTTGTGACCTGCATACCAATACAGAAATATGAGTATGGCAACTAATTCTAAAAATTTGCCTCAGTTATGCAATGCTTGTTGCATGTGACAGGACTTCTTTTGTCTTTCTAATTGCAAATCTGTACGTTTCCTTAAATTCATGATAGATTTTGGTTGTCTTTCCAGGCAGACCCCGTGATGGTTTTAAATGACGACAACACCATTGTAATCACCTCCAACAGGCTTTCTGAAACAGGAGCTCCATTGCTAGAGCAGGGAATGATTGTGGGACAGCTTGCTCTTGCAGATGCACTGATTATTGGGAACTGCAATAACCAGGTAAAGAAGATTACAGAGACTTGGGTTTATATCCTTGGAATTCACAGTCCGTCTATCTGTGACAGAAAGTAGAGATTCCAATAGAGACAAGTATTCAAACATTTCAGTAGTGGTGTTTGCAGGGGCAGCAAACAGTGAGTTTGTCAGCAACAAGACTGGTTTAAAACAATGCTGTATTACTGGATCTGTCATCTCTTATTGCATATATCCATCATGACAATTAAGTAGGTGCAATTGACTTGCGTGTAAGAGATTGATGATAGTGAAGTTGTATGGATTTTATGACTTTTTGAGCTCTTTTTTTCAGGTAAGCAGTATCGTTGTATTTAAACTACAACTTGTACATCTTTCAGATTTTGTCTAAAATCATAGTACTTTGTGGGTTTTAGCATTTGGCTTATGGATGCCTTAGAAGAGCCTGTGTTTTGCTAAGCAGAGTGTACACTTCAGTAAACACACTGGACAGACCATTAATAAATAGACTTTGTCTTCATTGAACTCTTCCAAAAGTTATTTACAGCTCTTTATAGATTCAGAGATGACACTGACAGATCCTAGAGAGTCTGAAAACAGTCTTGTTGGGATGCAACTGAATCTCCTACCTGGATGATTCCCGAGTAGATTGTTTAATGTGGCTCAGGCAAAACGAGTAGTTTGACTCTTTTGCAGGTCAAGTTCAGCGAATTAACAATCGATATGTTCCGAATGCTGCAAGCCCTTGAAAGGGAACCAATGAATTTAGCTTCACAAATGAACAAACCTGGGATGCAGGTGAGTTCCATTTCAGCGACCAGCCTGGCAACAGGCCCATGCTGATTTACGGTGTCATCTGCCTGTGCTGTCACTGTGCAGAGCAGCTTAGGAAGGCTGGCATAACTCTTACTAGAAGTTAATGAAGGATGATGCAGACTTGTACGGTTTGACTCAAGTAATGACTTTTTCCATTTTAATTGGCATCCTCACTAGGGGAAAAAATAGCAGAATTATTTTCACAAATGATTTAAACCATTGCACCCCTGTTTCTGAAAGGGGTGCTATGTATACCCATCCTTACCTTCGTGTTGGCCCTAGCAGTTGAAAACACACACAAAAAATCATAGTTTTAATCAAGAGGCAAAAGGAAATGGCTATAGCTTCATCTACTTGATTGAACAAGGGAGATTTTTTCCCACACTCTTTTCTTAAGTTACAGTTTAGAGTAAGAAATATTTGAGGCTACATTAAACTCAGGAATAATGTAAAATTCTGGTGTAAATGCTGTTTACCTTGGTTTGCTGTATACCAGGGAATGCTGCAAAAAAAGATTGCTATATGGGAGAAGTCTATTGAAGATGAATATTCTAATAAACGGAAGCTGCTTTGGTGATATTAGGATGGTATGTTTGTTTTTTTAACAGGAGTCAACAGAGAAACCAGCCAGGCGGGAAAACCCTCATAAATACCTTCTTTATAAACCAACTTTTAGCCAGCTATATACCTTTTTAGCAGCATCATTTAAGGTTTGTGGTATTGGTAACTTTATTTGTAACAGAAAAATATCCAAGATGGAATATGACACTGAATAAAATGTGGTTGAGATTTTCTTTTTTTTCCTGGGAATGACAACTTTGTTSGCATCTCATAAAATGTAAAATAATCACCCGAGAGGATGGACATATTACAGAGATATATAACTTCTATAATAAAGGCAAATATATTGACTGCTATTAAAAGAAGGAAAAGCTTTTAAAGACAGAAAGCTACCTTGCTGTTTATACAGAAGTAATYATAACACTACTAAAACACAGCAATTTTCAAATTGAAGACTGAGCTACTCCTATGGAAGCAGTATTAATAACTGTCCCGTATGAGGAGTAGACCTTGATAATATCGTAAGCCTTATGTAACAGTTGAATGTGATTTATCTTAACAAGTAATTGTGTTTTTGCTTTATTTATATATATATATATATACACGCACGCACGCAAGTGTGTATATATATTGGAAATAACTATTTAGGTAAGGGACTTGGAGAACAGAAAAATCCTRGTGTTCTCTAGTGCATAGGATGCTAAACACAATCCAAAATCAAGGAAGCATGTCAAGAAAGTATTATTCTTAGGCATTTCATATACCTTTTATGTATCCAATTCAGAGGAAATAGAGAATTAGACATTTGTCTCCTGGATGTGCTATTTTTTGTCTGCCCATCTTTAACCATCTGTTCCATGTGAATAATCTGTGCACCAGTAAACTCAGTACATTTGCTGAGCTTAGTTTCATTTAATAAAGTTGCAGGGGTCATTATAGAAATCATATTTTGCTACTAAATCTTACAGTTGCCGATTTGTAATCACAGTTAAATATAAAGAGATGAGTTTCACAATTGGTAAGATAAACCTTCCTTACCATTTATAATGATGAGTGCCTATATGCTCAGCTCTCTGCAAGGATTAAAAGTGTGTGTTTCCTTATGAAGACAGCCAAAAGAAAGATGGAAAATAGATTGCTTTTATGGGCATGTCTAGCAAGTTGGACATGTGTTTGTTTTCTGGCTGAGGAGTTTGAAGAGGCAGGAGGGAAGAGGTGGATATTGCAGGCCATGGTGTGTTTAGAAACAAAGACCTCTGTTCAGAAGCCTGAACCATTTGGGAGTTAAGGGCTGCGATGGTAAATGGCAGCTTGTGGTTCCCGCTTCCTGGGAAACTTCAGACCTGACTAGGTTATGAGAGTCTGCATGGAAGCAAACACTGATATTCTGCTATTGTTTTAACCTCAAATGTCAGCYTTTTAAAGATCTGTTTAAGGGGAGTGGGAGGGGGAATCTGTGTATCATCAGTTTGCATTTTTGTCTATGTGCGCTCCTATTCAAAGGGTGGGAAGGGCTATGTGTGCGTACAGACAGAGGGAAGGGAAGCCAGAAGGACAGGCATGAATGACAAAGCTTCTATTGGATTGATGATAGACTATAAAAAATATATATACATTTCTTCCCTTGCTACTTGTCTCTCCACTTGCATTTCAGGAGCTGCCTGCGAACAGTGTCCTGCTGATTTACTTGTCTGCCACGGGCGTGTTTCCCTCAGGTCGTTCGGATAGTGAAGGTACAATAAAGGAATGCTCCCTGTCATGAACAGGGCTTGAATTCTCTTTATGTTCCAGGTCAAGTGACCAAGAAAGAGTCACAAAGCTCCTTTTAAAAGACAAGTCAATTTTATTCTCCTGTCTACTTTGTAAGATAGTCTTTTCACACAAACGTAGTTAATTCCCTGTTTTAATCAGTGTGCATTAGCTTGAAAGCTTTTCTAAGGACATGCTCAGTTTTTGATGCATTAAGTTTCACCAATTTTGAAGATTACATGGCTCATTCTCTATTACTAGGAGCGTATATTGTCAGAAGGGCGGACGAAGGGCTGAAGAAGTGTCTGCAGAGTTTATTCTTTTTGCACGCATGTTGCCGTGACAATTCAAGCCCTTATCATGATTTTTGACAACTTCTTTCACTTCATTATTCTGTTCTTCGCAACCTAGCAGAATATTTGGATGCAGCTGCATTCTAAAAGCTGAAAACTGGCTAGCTGAAGCAAAAGTGATCAGAAACAATCTTTGCATTTAAATGATTAAAAGAAAAATATTTTTAACATCCTAAATATTGTACATACCTCATCTGTTTGAGACTTGCATTCCTTTATAAAATGCATGCCTGGTCTATCCCCATGCATGATTTATAAAAGTCTTAAAATGTTTTTCAAAAAAAAAAATGCCACTTGTGTGAATGGCATTTTTTTAATGTTTTTACTGTTTTGCTTTGTGCTGCAGTATGGTGATTCACTTTAACCAAGCCATGTCTTTTAAAGCCTGCCTTATACTCTCCTTCACTGCATGTCGTCTTTCAGTTTAATACCTTACTGCAGAGGCCTCCAGTCTCTGTCGCCTCATGAGCTGCATAGTCAACCTTCGGTTTTCATTAAATGAATGCCATTACAACTGCTTTCTTTTAATAAGGTAGTGTTGTCTGCAAAGAGCAAAATGTTCTACCTTATTAAATGGGAGAATAGCTACAGGCTGCATTGTTGAGCTCTTATAAGCTGTTTGTTTGACAGGTCACATGCGAGGCATCAGTGCCAAATTAATGTATGTTGTGTTCCTAATTCTGTATTCTCAAAGCTTCCCTTCGAATGGAAATGTGTTTTAGGTATCTGAACTTGGAAGAAAAAAAAAAAAACGTGCTTGGTGGCAAAATATGATTCAACCAAATCTGTCAATGCATAACAGAATTAGGAAATCCTAATACTGTCTTTTATTAATGATGGTGATGCATCTCTTGCACTTCTTTGATGTAGGTTTGGGTATTTTTATAGCCATTACTTTCAGCTTTGTCCATCAAACAGTTAAGCTTGCAGTTCAGTTGTGCGAACCTAGCAGAATGTCTTGAGCCTATCTTAGGACCACATGTGAAGGCTACATGCATTTAAAAATGGGAAAACTGTATTTGAAAATTAACCTTTGCTGCAGTTCTGAAACMTGCTTAGGAAAGTCTTATTCTCTCTAGGAGTACTGAAAGCATACACTTTCTCTGAACTCTCTCCTTTTTTTGGGGGGGGTATTCAGCTATTCTTTGAAGTTTTTCCGCAGATGATGATAATATACTTATTCTGAGGAGCTACTTTTTAAATTTGATTTAGACTTAAATTTTTTGGGCACATTCTGTTTCTAGAATATGCTAGCTCAGGTAGTAATCTAAAAAAGGTATAGATTTGTATGATAAATATAATTTTTTTTCTTTGCTGTATAATGTGTAAAAGCCACTACTTGAGTCTTTTGCATTATATTTCTGCATTTTTGGATCATGAATAAATAAAGTTAGGAAGTTGCAGAGTTTTACTACTGTTTGGTGGATGCTGAAACTACTACAAAGCATAAAATTAAGTAGATGTTTTGTCAACTTGAAGGTATCCATGTTACTTCTTCCCCTCCCCAGAAATGCAATATTTTAGATTCACTTTATTTTGGAGTATTTTTTGTTGCTTCCTTCCTTCCTTTCATATCATCATGAAATCCATAACTGAAGTGAATTGGCTCTGCTTATTTTAGCCTTCCTTTTGCCACTTTTAGGTCCGTATGACTTTGGCGGTGTTCTGACAAATAGTAACCGGGACGTTATAAATGGGGATGCAATCCACAAGCGAAACCAATCGTACAAGGAAATGCACTGGTAAGTTTCAYGAGCTTGACGACCACAAATTTGGAAGAATTTTGTGAAGAGGAGGACACCTATGCCCCTCTTCAATTTACAGTGTCAATTGGCTTGAATTTGAAGAACTAAAATAAGTGTGCAACTCGAAGTCACAATTTAAGCACTAGAGGAAAAAAATCGTATATTTTACGGTAAATTCTCTTACTGGAAAATTTCAAATTAGTGATGGATGACTGTTTGGTCAGACAAGCATCTCTTTTTGGAGAAAGAACTAAGAGGAAGCTGAATAGTCCCTAGTGTAGACAACATCAAACTGGGTTTGCAGTTATTCTCCGAGGATGAATCCGCAAACTGGGACAAGGGGAATGTGCTTTCTTCTTGTCTAGCTATGGGCAGCTGTGTTTCCAGGAAACTTCTGCCTTTTCACAACTTCACAGAATTTCTAGTGCTCTTTGAAGTGTCTTTTTCTCTTTTTAGTCTTCACCCTGGTGATCTCTATCCTTTCACAAGAAAGCCTCTGTTTATCATTGTGGATTCTTCAAACAGTGTTGCCTATAAGGTAAGGCTCTTGAATGCAACTGCATGTATGGTAGGATACAGTGCCAACCCCTAGTTAGTTTGCACATTTAACAGGTTATTTTTTAAACACTTTGTATTCAGTCTTTCTTTTCTTTTGAGGTTGTGCATGCTAGTCAGGATCTGATCCTATGAATAGGAACAAGAAGAAGCACATGAACAGCCGCTGATTGGAAAGTAATAAATCCTCCTGGAGGGAAAAAAAGGTTCAAGATTTCCAAGATCTCTGGTGGGAGGTTTATTTTTGTTATATACCAAAGACAAATCTTGGTATGTATGCATGGGGGCGGGAAATAATCTAATCTGCTCTTTTTTTTCCTTTAGTCATCCAGCACTCAGTTGCTTTTAAGCAACAGGAAGGAGAGCATTGAGCCTGATCTTGTAAATAACGGGTGTCTGTGTCTGAAAAAATGTCTGARTCAAGGAAATAACAAGACATAGAAATTAGCAAACAATGTTACTATAAGTGATGTGTGTTGGGACAGTGAGCATCCTTCTGGGGTGCTGTATATTTAAAGTACAATTACTCACCAAATCCCCATTGAAAATCTGCGTTTCGGGTAATACAGAAGCAGGCATTTATGAGTTCAGTACCAGTTGCATCTGGATGGCATTATGACATTATTTCATTGGTGAATGGGATATTAAGAATGTATTATCTGGGGAAACTGTCACTTCCTAATGTCTTCCTTTTAATAGCTCCATTATTTGCAGTGAGGGACGTGAATATTCACAGCTGCGTTTCTGAGGAGGAACAGGGACGTCTAGTGGCCAGCTGAATTTGCTCTTTGTTCAGTATCCACAGTCCTCATCCTTCATTTTAAAGGCATATGCTGGTTAACAAGAGTTAGTTATCAAGGACCAGAGTGATTTCTGCACTGAGCCCAGAACCTAACAGCCTTAAAAATGATACAGCATTTCTGTAGGGCTTTTGTTAATTGCTTTGTAATCCAATTCAAAGGCTTTTGAAATGCTGCTGAAGTGAACTTCACCACAACAGCTTTCAGTACAAGCCTGCTGCTTCTTTTATCTTGCATAAAAATTCTCTTATTGAAAGAGAAGGAGATGCAATTAGAATATTTTACTTGTCATTTTCTAAGAAAATGAGAATGATTTATTTTCCTGTATAGTCTCTTGATGTGGATTCCAGTACAACGGAGGGGATTTTGGTTTTGTTTTGTGCGGGCAGAGGATTTGAAATTTGGTTTCTCCTGCCTTCCTCCCTAATAAAATTGCTGAAAGAGGCAAAGTGGATCTGCTCTGGAGAAGAGAATAAGGGATTTCTGGAGATCCTTAGTTCATATGTAGCTCTGGACATAGTAACGATCTGTAGGCAGTTTAGAGAGAAGGATTTCTAATGGTTTCCTACATGTAGGCTTTTACTTCCCATGAGTAACCATCAGTGTTTTTGGTGGAGTTGTGCTTTCTAACCACATTTAGATATGATGGTTGCATTCCTTAGATTGGAAAATAACTTTTGATAGTTATTTTGATTATAGTAAGCAAATACTCTAACATCCATTTAGTTTCTTTTCTGTATCTCTAGTGAACTGTTCATCAGTAGTGTGAACTATCCCAGTGTGTTGTCAAGCACACAGAGCAGCTGTCACAAGAAAAGTCCAATCTCTGCTTGCATGTAAGGAATACAGAAACGTGGAAATGAAACTCGGCATTTGAGAACTCACTTGTCTTCAAACTCTTTTACCATTGCACTTAGGCAAATGGGAGTGGGACTCTCATTTTCAGCTGAGGACAAATGACAGAACTCTCAATCTCGGTGTTTTCTAGCTCTGCAGCTTCCTGCCTGTCATTGCTTTGTACACGCTTGGTTCCTTGTAGCAGAATACATGGATATCTCTGCCCTGTGAGTATCTGCTGGGTCTGTTACGAGGGGCTTTGCAGACTCCAGCACTGGCACGCAGAGGTTCTGTGTGACTGGGAGAAGCCAAAGCCAGCGCACTGACTTTTTTCCACATGGCTGCTCTGAGCTGTCCTGACAGGACAGTAGCTATCCTGACATTTAAATGTCACCGCTAGCAATACTAGCGGTAACAGCAGCTCTTCACACGTCTCTTTCTGAAAGCTGTTTCGCTCTCCTGCACACATTCCTGTCCTCTCTTTCTGGAGGGTTTAAATGGTGATGACTGGGAGAGAGTCCTGCYAGGAAGCGACTTGCCAGTTTGTCAAATCAGCTGCATGTACAGGCACAGCTTCCTCCTCTGTATTTTTAGCTCTTATGGGAAGATAAGTGTAAATTAAGCATATCTACTTAAACCTTCAGTTTTTTGAAAAACGTCAGCTTCAGTGTAGATGGCTGTGTTTGAGAAATTACCACTGTACATGTAAATGAAATGTTTTAGATCAGTATCTTTTCGTGGCTGTAATTCTCAAAGATGATGGTCAAAGTCTTAAAAGTACTGTTCCAGAGACTAGGAATGCAAGACTTCCATCTGTGACATGGTACAGATGCTCAGCTTAGTGGAATTTGCCTGTGAATTGACCCCTCAGAGATGATGAGTAGCTCTTTTTTGGAAAGAGATATATGTGGGTCATAATTTAAAAAAAAAAAAAAAAAAAAAAAAGCAGCACTGCTTGTGTTTTAAAGTTAGATACTGAAGCCAAAAGTTAGCTCATTTTTGAAACACAAATGTTTCTTCACCACTTTTGGAATGGTCAGTATGTTGAAGGGCAACATCCTTCTTATTGAGATCTGTCAGCAGCATCTGGACTGCAGGGCAGGTTTTTCTGGAGCACCTTACAGTCCTCCAAACCGTTTGTACTTCAAACCTGGCAGCAATATGTACTTGTTCCCTTGTCACACGTCAGCCCACAGCTTGTGCCCTTGTCACGTGTATGCCTGCCCTGATGGKAATAAGGAGGTGGTGGGTGAATCCTAATGCCTAGCATGTATTTTCTCCCCTTTTCAGGACTTACTGGTTGCTTCTACTCTTCTGGGACACTTAAGAATCCAAAATTACTAACTTGGATACTTGTAGACAGATACGTATCTGTCAGGGAAGATATGAATGATCCCTGGTTTTCTTTTACAGTAGTCAGTGTTTAATAACATTCTTAAATTAAGTGATGAAGTGTATAGAATATCTGCTTTGGTGGCTGGCTGGTAAGAGGTTTAAGTCCAAATTGTGAGGTTGTTCATGAGTACTGGACATGTGTGACATGAAAATGTGCCTCTTCGTGTCCGCAGCACTGACTTCATTCAATGCAATCTAGCAATGGTTGCAGTGACTCTTGGAGTTTAAAATGTTTCTTTCAAGTTTAATATTACTGATTACTGTGTTGGCTTGCAGTTACTGTATTCCTGATAATAGTATTTGCTGCTTCATTAGAGACAAAACCTTTAATATCTATCATTATAAAACTCGCTTGAGGTCTACATGAAACACAGGACTACTTAGGAGTAGCCAGCACTTTGTCAGATATGGAAAATGTTTTATTTTGATTAGACTAGTATACTGTTGTTGGTGTTAGAAGACCCTGGGTGAAATTAATTCAGTGAAACTAATTTAATTGAAATGCATTGCCCAAGAGGGAGAATTCCATTTGAATTAAACACAAGCCAGAGGAGTTAAAAATGAGGTTTTTCTAATGTTGCTACGAAGTGAATAGTGGATGGGAGTTTGCTTATTGGGGGGGATGTGTGATTTGTACCTAAATTTGCAGACATTTGTGTTGCACTCGCCTTGGCCTAGATGAAAGGTGTGAATGTGCTGAGAGAAAGCAGCCATAAATGTGTGTTTGCTATGACTTTGAAAGCCTTCAGTTTTAAGGAACTGTTGTTTGTAAGAGGTGTARCAGGTGTTGCAGGGAGGTTGGTTGTTTTACACGAAAAATGGCAGTCCTTATTACTGAAAGGATTAGGGAAATATCCAGTAGGACCATGCCAAGTATGTTTTGGCATTTGCTTTTGTTGCAGAACTTGTGAGTGTTTTTGTTGTTGCTGTTTTAGTAATGTGTTACTAAAGCTGTATTTCCATGAAATTAGTGCCTGCTATCACTTGCTGTTTGTGAAATGATTAAAATGTAATGGGTTGTGTTTCCTTCTGGACTGTGATATATAAGTCAACCGGTCAGCCTTGCTGTCTAAGCTTGGCTGTGTAACGGGCATGAGCTTGATAATTTGACTAGTCTTTGTTCGCACCCCTAAACTGTTAAATTTCCAAAAGCAAAAAACAGTGACCATCAATACTTAAATTCTTATCTGTTACAGAACTTCACAAACTTGTTTGGACAGCCACTGGTGTGCTTGCTTTCTCCAACAGCATATCCAAAAGCATTACAAGGTATGAGAGTCCCGCGTTTCCAAACAGCTTGCAGTTATCTACTACCTCTGTTTCATGCGCCAAATGCATCTCTGATTTTTAGACCAGTCGCAGCGGGGTAGCCTCTTCACGCTCTTTCTGAACAACCCTTTAATGGCATTCCTGTTTGTGTCTGGATTATCGAGCATGCGCAGGGGCTTGTGGGACAAGTGCCAAGATTACCTTAGAAAAATCAACCGAGACATCGCGCAGCTGCTGACCCACTCGCGTTCCATAGGTGCGTACCGCAGGACACGACTGTTGAACGTCCGCGTGCTGCTTAAGCAGATGCCTTGTTTGTTATGGCTCAGGCGTTCCAAGGGGCAGAGTAGTGAATAAGGGGACTGTACAACTATGCATGGTAGTTTCTTTTTGTTTTTTAAAGCCCTTCTGAAGCGAGTTTTCTTCGTCTCTTCTGTAGATCAGTCCTTTCTTCAGTTTTTTGGAGATGAATTTCTTCGCTTGCTTCTGACAAGATTTATCTTCTGTTCGGCTACTATGAGGATGCACAAAATTTTCCGGGTATGCAGGAAAATCTATCCCTTTGAGAACAATCTCATGCAGACAGAACTGCACTGCTGTAGGATGGAAGGGTCTTTTGGCTATGGATATCACTGTGACTTGCAAAACATAGCTGGTATTTGCATGCTGTTGCCTACAGCTTGTATTGTGTCTGTCTCCTTGTTGTTATAGTGCATGAAGCCTTTGACTTGCTTCTGTCTTACTCCTCTGCACAAGTAGTAGACACATTCTAACATGAGCATACTCATTTATCTTACTCTGAATAGTCTTTTCAGATAGAAATATTCCTCTCACTAACCCGAGATGATTATTTCTGCATAATTAAAAAAGGAAAGAACAACAATATAAGAGGAAGTGGAGAGGAGGAAAGCTTTATCTCTGTGAGCTTTTCGAGTGYGAGTAAACTTTGAAAGGCCTTTCAAGTGTAAATAAGTAAACTAAACAGACAGTATTTCCCTTCCCTGCTGGCTAACACTGTGCTAGCAGTGAAGTTCACTTCTGGATCTGTCATTTTATATTTGTGAGTGCTGGCACATAAATTGCATGTTCCACTTTAAGTATTACAGGAAAAACAGAAGGTAGAAGCACAGAAAGAGGCAAAAGAAATAATTTTGCCTAACTGCAGACATCTAGTAGTTTTCCAAGCCTAAGTTAGCTACCCAGGTATCCTTGACAGTAGGGGGAAAAAAGTAGATCTTTTTGAGTGGGGATGGATTTGCCCCTAGTGTCTTAGGTRTCTGTTTTAGGATGAGATGAATCTCCCACTGGAGATGCTTACGTGTCTGCCATTTCAAGAAGTGAACTCCAGCCTAAGTTGGTAGTAGGTAAGTATGTGTGAAGTGTTTTTTGTTTATTTTCTTGGTGAGGCTTCTGTGAATATGGAATTAAAAGCAAATGTACTTAATCATCTTATAAGAGTGAACATTTGTATTGCCACTGTGACTGTCTCTGAGTCAATGGAAAACGAAAACAGAAGGTGGCTTTATTCCCGCTAGGCTCTTTTCATTCCTTTCTATTAGTGTGGCATGCTAAACAGATTAGGATGCTTCTTAGGTGCAACTGGTCTTTTGCAATCTTCTAAAAGGTTATTAAAAATAAACAGATGTTCTGTTTCTCTCTGTTTTCACTGTTGTCTAGCAGGAGACTCGAAATTATCCAGAATCTTATCCTCAGCTGCCCAGAGATGAAACTGTGGAGAACCCTCACCTCCAAAAGCACATTCTGGAGCTGGCTGCCATACTGGATGTTCGAAATGTTTTCCTGGAAAACACGATCGACGATTATTAAAAGAAACTGTCTTACTGTAAAGGGATTTCCCTGGTCACGGATTTTGAATGGTGCAGTTTTCTAATGTGAAAATCTTAAAAGGAAGTACTTGATTTTATTTTTAAATTTAGGGCCATTATTTTAAAATGTAGTAATAAACAGCTATTAATTTAGCTGTGCCATTCTGTATGGGGTCAATTTTATAAGCAAAACTTTTCATGTCTTTTAAATGTTAAACTAAAGAATCACTAGAGTTTTATTTCTGGTCTTGTGGCTGCTGTCAACCACATTTCCAAGAGCTGATCCTAAGCATAGAAGTACTATTGGTTACCTTTAGCCCACCTTCGTGGAAATCCTTTATTTTTATACAATTTTAAAAAGTTGGAAAAAAAGAAGTCGATAGAAAAATAATATTTTTTTTCCCCCCAAAGCCTCTGGATTTGAAATGGTAAGGATACAACCACACAGTGCAAACCAACAATAGCAATAAGACAGAGTCCTTCATAACAAATATATTTTTTCAGTCTTAGGCAAGCAAGTAGAGAAAACTGAGATAGATTAAGCTTCATTTGCAGCAATGAGTTTGACATGGAGTCATAAAGATAGTAATGCYCCCTATAAATTTGTCACCCATATACAAAATTCGTACCGCTGGCCAGGGATAACTTCCACTCTACCTGCTTGAGTGGATGGCTAATAGACTGATGAATTGGAAAGTCAAGAAAGTTGTTCCCCTTTCTCACCATAACACTGGCCATCCTGTCATTTGTATTGCGGTCACAATTTTCCAGGAGGAGAGGGCATTCTTCCTTTTGAGCTAATGCATAGAAATTCTTAAATCTCCAGTAAGTATAAATCTGTCCTTTTCTTGTGTTAATGAAACATGTGGTTCCAACGGTGTTAAAAGCCCCTGATAAGAGTTGAAAGTGTATCCCATTAAGTGTTGATTATCAACCCTTCCTAGCACCTKTTTATCCAACCAATCTGTTCTGGATTGGATCCCTGTGCCCTAGAAGAGACACTGGTGCTCCTCTTGTTGCCACTAAGTTAATGCTGTGAGTGCCCATCATTACATCTCACTCCTTTTTGCAGGCCAGCAAAACTGAGGGACTGCAGTACTGTGTGACAGTGTTACAGGCGCTCTCAGGCCAAAATGCACAGTCTAGGTATGTTGAGGAGTCCCGTGCATTTGTGAAGGCACTTCCTGGAGAAAACTGTGCTGAYTGTGGAGGGAGAAGTGCTTGTTGACTGAAGGCAGGCTCTTTTGGAGTGTGCCTCCTTCCTTGCAGAGCTAGAGGAACGCTTGCAACTCCAGACAGTGAGTGCTTTGAGGAGGGAAAGAAAATTAAAATATTCTAAACAAATGAACAAATCTTTTCACTGTTCCTGTGCAGGAAAGGAAGTGAAAAGACAAGTCTGATGAATGCTATAAAGCTGAAACCTAGCCATGCCTCTAACTTTAGGTGAGGAAAAAAATGCAAAATGTGGAGACTACTATAGCAGGCGTATTTGCAAAGCTGTGACACAATGGTACGATCAGCTCAAAAGCTAGAATAGCAAGGACTAGAAATCAGCACTGATGGACCCCTATTCAGCAGGGTATAGTAGAGAACAGCAGGACTTGCTAGAGTGTAAATAGGAAGTTTGCTTGAAGGCTCTCTGTCTTGGGCGGTAGTGTATACAGTCCATTCTTTAATTTCCCAACTGTAAAAAATTCCACTGGTGTTTGTTTCTCTGAGCAGTCTTGAAGCTGATATCCTGGGCCCCTCACCACTTGGTGCTCTTCTTTGGACTATGGCTGGACTTTGTTACCTGGGATGTGGAGTTCATTTTAAAGAGTGCGTGTTTGTGTGTGTATGTGTATTCTAGGCGTTTGTGTGTATATGTACAATACACATGCATCTACTTGCTGGTGTAAATTGTAAATATGTATATATGTATAGGTACTTGTATATGTATTAAAAAGTATGAAACAGTGCAATGTCTATATACCAAATTTATATATACACACATACGCCATTTTGGGTGCGTTCCACAGAGCATTGCAGATCACTTGTGGCTGTAGAAAGGTTTTGGCTCTTCTGCCATTGTAGTTCTGTTTTCAGGGATTGCGCTTGGTCCTTGAGGTAATTGAGAACTGAAATTACATACGGGAGGCCCTAGCTAGGGGTTATGAGGACTCCTATGTATGTTACAATGACTAAATTCATGGACTCTTAACAGTGAAGCTGGCGATCTGCCTTTCCTTATGGTAGGAGGTCCCCAGTTATTAAAAGTTAGTATCATATAGGGAAGGTCAAGATATTGAAAGCCTTTAAAGCGGCAGCAGGTAAGAGCTACAGATGATCATTTCTGTTACTCTCCCTGCTGTCCCTCCAGCAGCAGTGTTCAGTGTGCGTGGAAGAGGGGAGTTCATCCTTCCCCAGGCTACTGCCTTTGTTCTGCTTTAGCTCGTGCTTTGGCAAAACTATTGCTTTGGTTCCGTGCATGTGGAAAGCAGTGTGCTGCTTTGAAGCCCAGGAGCGGAGGTTCCCCTGGTGCGGCCGCTGTCCTCGCGAGATGCCGCCCGGCAGCCGCTGGGCGAAGCCTCGGCGGGCGCCACGGCCCGCCCGAGCCGAGGAGGCCGCGCTCGCCACGCGAGCTCTCGGCGCCGCTCCGCAGCCCTGGCAAGAGGTAGATCTAATCGGAGGAGAACTGGCTAAAGAAGTTGGAATGCAGGAGGAGAGTGTGCTGCTTCGAAAACTACTGCAAAGCTGAACACACCAGCTTCGTTCAGCTCAAATTCAACCCTGAGGGCCCTCGTTCTCTTCTCACCTAGTGACCGTTGGTTCAGAAGGTGTGCTGCGGATCGGAATAGTCAAGGAAGGATTTCACTCCTGTGTCAGTAGGAGTAAGATTTCACTCCTGTGTCACTCCTGTGTCAGTTGTGTCAGTAGGAGTAAGATACTGTACCTATGAAAAAGGCCGATCCCTTCTGTCTGCTCTAGCTGTAGATGAGTATTTGGTCGTGGGCTTTGAGCCAGACACCCTACCTTCTTCTCCCCCACATCCCCCAAAGCAGCTGTATTCAAGATGAAAACTTGATGTTTTCCCTCCAAGTAAAAGCTTGTCTTGTTTGAACTAAGTCACTCTAAAATTGTGCTAATGTGTACTGTGTGCTATGGTTGTAGGTACCTTCTCTGTGTATGCTTGTATGTACTGAAGAAATACTTGGTTTATAAATTTAGCATATCTCACTGTATGGAAGCAAAGATTGAGCTATTTTTGTGTGAGGAGAGAACAGATCCTTCTCTCCTCAGGCCTCTAACGCCTTTCCTCTTGTATCCCTCTCCCTTTCCCCATATATCCTTATTGCTTATGTTAGCGGAAAAGACTTGCTACCATTAGGCAATACTGAATTAAAAGAGTAAATTCTGTATGTGATATCTAAAGAGGGGAAAATGTGAACTTTTGACTGAATGTTTCCTTATTGGACTTCTTTGCCTAGGCTCCTATTTACTGCATGTGATATGCTTGAATTAACCCTGTTCCCCAGGAGGCATCTCTATTTGTACTCCTTTGTTCACATTGACTTTAGAACATCTAATCAAATCAGTGCTGTTGTCTTCCCTCTCCACTCCTCACGACTGCACAAAATAACAGTAAGAGGGGAAAATAGAGATGTGAATTTTTAGAGCTCTGTTTCTACTCTTTGAATACTGCCATTTTGCTTCATGGCAACAAAAATGGAGCATTGTTTTCTGTGAGCTGTGCAAACTGGAGTTGCTTCCTGGGGTGCTTTCTTGAGAAGTATCAGGACAGTTTGTTTTGGCAGTTTGTCAAAATAATATCCATCAGGTCATTAAAACCCTCAAGAATATCCTACAGGGAGAAGTGCAGAGATGTCTTTCTAAGGATCATGGAAGGCAGGAAATTAGGCTTCAAATAATCACCTTCAAAAGCTGCAAGGTCAGTAGCTCTAGTCAGGTTTCTTGTCAGGGATGGGATGAAAGAACAGCTCCAAGATGCATTCCCAGGCATGCTGCTTTGAATTACCTCCCCTCCCTTCCTCTATACATTATACTTGTACTAGGCTTGAAGTCTGCTTTTCCCCAAATGCTAAAAAGATTGGGATTGCTGAGCATTTTTTTTCTCTAAAAGCTTTTATCTATGTTAGATTTTTCAGTAAATATTCCTAATGCAAGTCACTAATAACAACAGTGGCAGAGCCCTTGCTTAGTCCTGCCAACCGCACAGTAAGTGCATGCTTTGGGGCTGGTAGGTGCTGCTGCTCCTGTAACTGAAGGAGCTSCAGACACAGTGACAAGAAGAGTAATCTCGGGGAAGAGGTCTAATACCCCAGCTGAAACCACTTCTGTGTGACTCTGTAACGTTGGGCTCAGCTGTGCCACCAGCCRCGAGGGAAACTGGTACAGCAGAGGGGCAAAACTGTGCAGGGTAGGTGACTTGTGGAGTGCTGGCATGGCTCTCCTGAATCGCGCAGTATCTTTGACCGCTAGCGCAATTTGCCTTGTTTGACCACGTTGTTTCCAAGGCTTTGAAAGGTTGGATGTTTACAAATGGAGCAGAGGAGGAAGCAYCAGACAAATACTTCTGGTTTCTATCTAGGAGCAAAAGAAAGGCAAAAGAACATCACTTGTTGCCTCCAAACTGCTGCYYTTCCAAGGCAGAGGAGGAGATGCAGTTGAGGTTCTCTGAATCTGAGATCTTTCAGAAGACCAAGGAAGGCCAAATYATTGCTGTTATTGTTGGGCCAGCTGCCCTGATGCACACACAGATAGTTTGCTCACAAAGATCCTACTTGCACAGTGAGAACAGACTTTAAATTACTGTTTACTTGCCCAAGGGAGCCCCTTGAGAGATTTTTGGACCTTACTGGATCTTATATGAGCAGTTATTTTTCAAGGGGAAGCCAACCACTTTGCATATATAGCGCTCTGACTTTGCAGATTTCTTGGGGCAGTGATTGTGACCACGTCTCAGTTGTAACTGCTTTGTAGGAGCAGGGTTTTGCACCACACATTTGAAAGCACAAGGTGCTAAGGCCCTGGCCCTCAGCTCTGCAAGCACAAGAGCAATATAGAGGGGACTTCAGAAACGCACAAGGAGCAACAGTGCCCCAGTCACGAGGAAAAGGAATGTTTAGCCTCGCTGAAGATCATTTATTACTAAAAGTAATTTTATAGTGAATTGGTTTAAAGTTATTTCACAGCCCTGTGTATCATATTTTGATTTTTTTTAAAGGCTCTTTTACATAAAATATATAGAATGTATAAATAACGTTTTGGAGCAAAGAGATTTTTTTTCAAGGGCTCTGTGAATCACCAGCATACACCCTGCTCCGCGTTCTGGTGTCTTTGGGAGGAAAGGA